AACTGAAATCGTTGTTGATTTGTTATAATTTATTCGTTTTCGCGTTGTATTGAGTGTAAATTGTAGCGTAGTTTGAACTAATTACCGTGGACGGTTCCGCGTCGTGTCGCTATTGTTTATTTCTGCGAAGCGCATTCCGGACTTATTGTGTTTACGTCGAGGCGCTAGAAGATTGCGTCAGCAGGCGAGAAGAACGATACGAGTTCCCGTCGCGTCCCGTCGCTGGCCGATGCCGGGATACTTTTTCATCCAGCCGCGCGAAATATTATCGCTCCTATTAACTATCACATATTTGCGATCGGCCGTCAACTGGCCACTAAAAACTCGTGGCTAAAACCGCGCTACCTCCGTTACACTAACCGTCCACGATTTCTGTTACTTTTTTTGTAGTTGCGCCGTGTACGCGCGCCGCGACCGCCGCGTGCCGACGATCGGCCTCAAGTACAGTATATGACATCTGATATTGTAAATAAGCGGAAGGCCGCTACACTCATAAGTTGTCACAATTAAAATATATTTCCTGTAAATCTGTTTATCATTAAACTGAGCTGAGTTTCTTTCTCGCCCTACGCCTAAAGTCGCCTTCCGAACCCCCGCTTCTCCGTTTCAGATTCTGAGCTGCCGTGAAGCATTCTTTTAGCGGAGAAAGTACGTCACGTCCGGCTACATTGGTGAATTTATTGTCTTGTGTTTGTGCGGCGTGATTCTCACGCCTGGCGCCCAAGTTTTGTTCATAGATTTGTATGAATGAGCCAAGGACGTGCCGAAGGTGTGTGTGACGCTCTCGTACACCACCTGAAACGGGAGTACAAAAATTCAAAATACAGTCGCTCACAGTATATATATATGTATATACATATATTATTATTAATATATGTAGAATATACTTTTACAAAAAAATGTTGGTACTTATGCAGATTAGGCCACCTCCAAGTTCAATAATTTTTACATATGTTGTGAAGGTTGTCATTGTCCCAAGTAATAATGTGAAGGTTTTAGGCCGCGGACGTTGTTTGTTAAAAAGTTACGAGGGAAATAAGTTTCATGAATAAATTCTTATTTTTTGGTCTCACGTACATTTTGTTCGCGTTTGAAGCGCGTAGGCAGGGGGGCTGCGCCCTCCTGCACTCCCCCAGAACCTTTTTTTTTACATGGGGAAAATCCTTTACGGATACCCCGCACCCTGAGGGAGGGAGCGGGGTTATGTGGGACTCCCCTCCCCGGCCCGCAAGTCGAGGAAGATATACTTACTAAAACCCCCATAGTGTGCCTGCTTTGCTCGTCTCAAGGAGGACCCGGTACCCCTGATTAAGGACTTGTCGCAGGTCCTTCCTCGAGCTCCATGCCGTTCTCGTCGGAAAGAACTTCTTGTTCTTCTTCCCGCGTCATCTCTGGCTTAGCGGCGCAAACGGGACACACGCCGCCGCGCCGCTCCATCACTGGGGACGCGTGCAAGACGGGTTATGGCTCCCACCCTGACCCGTCACGTCCCCGGCAGCAGGTAACATCCTCCCCAGGTGACGAGTTCACCCGGGGAGGCTGCCGCGAAACAAACTCATGTCCAAAAGTTTGGCCCGCCGGGGCGACAGGCTGACGAGGAAGCCAGCTCCCCCAACACCTGCCGCCCCGGCCNCCCCCTCCCCGCTACTAAGAGCGGGGAGGGGTCTGTTGTCAAGAGAAGCCACCGGGATCTCGGCGACGCGCGCGGGAGGCGAGGGCGACCCGGCACTCNGCCCGCACGCGCCCCGGAGGTCCCACCTGAAGGAAAAAGGCTCTTACCCTCTCCCTCTTCGCGACCTCCTGCTCCATAACAGCGGAGCAGAAGGAGACCACGGCCCCCCCCATAAGTCCTCATTTCCGGAGGCCAATGCCCGTAACAGGCCCTCCAGGGAGAGGTTGTTCCCTATTTGAGCGACCAGGTCACCGGACCACTCTGGGCACTCTGCCACAGTGTGGTCCGTATCCCTGGCCGCTCCACACTGGTGACACTGTGTCGTCGGCTTTTTCCTTATGCGACACAGGTACTCACCGAAGCAACCGTGCCCGGTAAGCATCTGTGTCACTCTATAGATGAAACGTCCGGCCCCTCTCTTCAACCATCATCGGAGATGAAGCCGGACGACCCCCTGGGCCATTGCACGTGGCGTGCCCAGTTGCTCCTTCCAGCTCCGAAAGAGCTGTTTCCGGGCCTGGCGCTTCGAGTTGGCAAGAGCCTCCCGGAGTGTGTCTCCTCCCACGCCTTCCTGCACCAACTCGACTCGGCGAGAATACCTCACCGAGTACATCTGCGCGAGGAGGGCCAGAGGAGGGATTCCCGCCAACACGCCCGCCGTCTCCGCGGCCACGTCGCGGAAGCCGCGGATTACGCGGAGAGCTATCCGATTTTGGGCTCTGCGGAGCAAGTTGAATTTGCACCGCGAGCCCGCTCCCGCCGCGACCTCCGCAGTGGTGACCCATAGAAAGACACCGCGTGGACCACGTTTGTGAAGAGACGGCGGACTTTCTCTAGCGGGTTCCCAAGGTTCGGCAGAAGCCTCGCCAAACTATTGGCAACTCTTCCGACCTTAGGGGCCAGAGGAGCGAAATGCTCATCGAAGCGCTATTTAGGGTCAAGGTGAAGACCGAGTTACTTAAAAGTTGTACCCATCTTGACCCTTGCCTCACCTATCTCGAAGCTAAGTTTCGACGGCTGGTCGCGACAAAAGCCATTAAACCGCATGGCCTCCGTTTTGTGGACCGCCACCTTGAGACCCAGCCTCTCAATTCTGCCGACGACACAGCGCGTGCTCTCCTGCGCCAGTATCCTTGTCCACTTCCAGTNATCCCCCGTGGTCACCAAGAGGGTGTCGTCTGCATAGCAGATAGTTTTCGCGCCACGGGGGAGTCTACCCCGGATTACCGCGTCGTACCCGAGGTCCCACAACAAGGGGCAAAACAGCCTCCTGCGGGATCCAGTGGCACATCTCTCTCCTGTGCTGTAATCCGTACCGGCCGGTATATCCTATTCCTCTGCCGCGGAAATAGTCTCCGAAAATCCTGCTTAGATAGGGCGGGACGCCGTGATNTTCTAGCGCCCGCCCTATGCTGTCCCAGGAGAGGAAATTAAAGGCGTTGGAGATGTCCAANGACACCGCCAACGCTATCCTCCCCTGCCTGACCGACTCGTCCGTGAGGGACCTGAGACGGTAGATTGCGTCCACNTTTGATCGTCCCTCACGGAACCCGAACTGGCAGTCGGCCAGGTCGGGACCAATCCGCGACAGATGACTGGTGAGGCGGGCGGCGACAACTCGCTCCAATAACTATCCCGCTTCATCCAGCAGGCAGATCGGCCTGTATGCGGACGGTNAGTCTGCAGGCCGACTCTCCTTCCGNAGGAAGACAAACTTGGCCTGCTTCCATTCCGGGGGGAACCACCCTGTCCTCGGACAGTCGGTGAGGATCTGCCTGAAGCGGGCTTCCAGGGGACTTTGTCCAAAAGCCAGACCCAGGACTCTGCCGGGCACGCCATTGGGACCAGGAGCAGTGCTCTTTCGTGTCATCCGACGGACGGCCTAGCGCAGCTCCTCCTTTGTGACCCCCAGCTTGTCGGACCACTCAACTGNATCCGACTCCGGCTCTGGAGAGAGCCACACGCCTCTCCCATCAGGGAAGAGCAAGGTGACGACCCTCTCTTAAAGCTGAGGGTCGAGACTCTCCGTGATCGGGGGGGCCCACGGGCGAAGCTTGCCCATAACAAGCTTGTATGGGCGCCCCCACGGATCAGCGTCGAGAGTTTGGAGGAGCTCCTTCCACGCTCTGGACTTGGCCTGGCTTATGGCAGTACGAAGAGCTTTTCGTGCGTGACAATACCCCTAGTACGCCGCCGCTGCTCTTGCCACATCCTTGTGGCNAAGAGCATGGGTGTACTGGTCTCTCGATCTGGCGCACGCTGCCCTGAAGTCAACTATTTTGCCAGTTCACCAGTACACCGACCTCCGGTTCGGCGGCCCGCGAGTACGCAGCATCGCGGCGTTGCACACTANAACCTGCGTCTCGCCAAGCCACCGAACTTCCGTCCGGAGGTCGCGCGGCTCAACCGGAGAAGCCGGCCAAGCCGCNGCCTAAACAGCGGCGGACAGGATTTTTGGGTCCAGCTTACGCAGGACCCACCCCTGGGGTGGGGGTCTTCTCGCCGANGGGCGGCTTCGGAGTTGGTCAGGAAGCACGGAGACTTCCATAGTGATATATTTATGGTCAGACAANGTCTCCATGTAATTCCTGACCCGCCATCCGGATACACGGCGCGCAGTCGGCAGGGAGGCAAGGGTTATGTTCACTANGCACTCCCCGCTGCGCCGGACGCACGTGTGCAGCGAGCCTTGGTAAGGAACTACAAGCCCGCTAGCCGCCGCAAAGGCCTCTAAGGCCTCGCCCTTTGGGTCGGTCCTGGGGGAGCCCCAAGCCGTAGACTTGGAGTTAAAGTCTCCCAAGACGAGTCTGGTGTCGGCGAACGACCCGGCCCAGCTCGTCCAAAAACCCCTCCAGTTCCTCGAGAGTCCTCGACAGCNAGAAGTAAACCTCTATTACCGTTAGTTCCCCCCATTAAATTACAACAAACCCTCGGCCTCTCTCCAAAGGAAAGAGAACCGAGGACTCGCAATCACCCCCCCTGCGGAAGTATGCTGCGACCGAGCCGTCTTCCGACTCCGACCACGACGGGTGGTGAGAGACATTGTACGGCTCGGCCACAACCGCGATCGCCCCGTCTAGTTCCGCGAGGNTCTAGACCATAAGGTCCTGAGCCCCGCAGCAATGGTTCAGGTTACTCTAGAGGAGAACAGCCATTACGCTGTTGGTGGAGCCTCTACCTCCATCTCCTCCTCCAGGGTACCATTTACCGGGGTGGGCTGGCTAGCCCCTCCTTCAACCGCTGCCTTGACTGGAGTGGCAGTGGGAATTCTTTCTGGCGCGTGGGTGGGACTTGGCTTACCAAGGTCGGTGCAAAGCGGACACTTTACCGTGGTCGCCTTGCACTCCGCCGCTTCATGGCCTGAGTCGCCACACCAATAGCACCAGCCCCTTTTGTCCTCCTCTGGCGCAGTGTAGCAACAGGTCGCTGTTACGTGCAGTGTTTACAGTTTTGGCTTCCTTACAGCATGCTAAAGCAGCGGAGGGGATGCGCACAACATCAGCGAGTTTATGCAATTAGAACTTGCTACTGTTGTGCGCATCCCCTCCACCGCTTTAGCATGCTGTGAGGAAGCTAAAACTGTGAACACTGGTTACGTGGCCGCGCCGGAGGCATTTGAAGCATTGTAGGGGCCGGCGCTTTAACGACTCAACCGGCGCCTTCACTCACCCCACCAGCAAGGATCCAGCACTCACGANTTTGCGCGCAGCAGCGACGGGGCACTGGATCCACGCCGTGAACAGGCCGTTGGGNGAAGCGCGAGCTCGACTGACCTTTATATCGGCCAGCCGACAACCCCCAACGGTCGCCANGGCTATCTTATTTTTGTCCGAGGTTACAAACTTATCGAGACCCTTCATGNGGAGATNGCATGTCTTAACGNGCCTCGCTATCTGCACCTCGGACTCCCCCAGGGCAGCGACCATGGCAGACCGAAGTTTGTCTGCCTTCTCGTTGTTGTTNTCCCCGGAGATTTCTACTATGAGGGCTCCCGTAATGGCCCTCTTGACCATAACGTTGGGGATGCCATAATCCTCTAGCGCTATGGCCTTCCTTGCCTTGGCCAACATCCCCCCGACGTCTGCCCCGGATCCCGGGACAGGGGTGAGTGTGATGGCCGCATGGCGGNGTGGCCTACCCACCTTTGGTTAAGGCGGGCGCTGCCCAGGTCTGGNCCCTTGAACAGCGNGCTTCCCGCCTCTCTCCGAGATAGCAAGAGGACTCTCCTTTTTGTCTCCCTTCTTCTTCCGCNCCACCACCTAAGACCAAGTTTTTCTTGGTGGGACCGGGAGAGCGGGTCGGTCGAGGGGTTGGCTGGGGGACTCAGGCTGCGTCGGCGCGTGAGCCTTGGCTCCGCCGGCAGCAGTCGCGGGTCCTCCACCCTTCTCCCGATCCGCTCTCTCTTTCTTTCCCTTTTTCTTCTTGTTTTTCTTTTTCCCCTGCTTAGCAAAAAAAAAAGTTTCCTCTTTAGGAGCGGTAATAGCAGGGAGTTTGCTCCCTGCTCCTGTTCCTACCTGCAACACTTCCCCCCCCCCAACGGAACCCAGAGATGGGCGGAGGAACCGGAGGTGGATTTGCTCATAGAAGATATCTAGTTTCTTCCCGAGCTTGTCCATCAACCGGCTCTCCACATCTCGGAGGGACCTGGGCCCTTTATCCGCCGCCGGCGGGGATGAGTGTTGGGGCGTTACCGACATCCCCGGCTCGTCCCTCACTGAGGAGTCCATGTCAATGTCCTCCACAGGCGCGTGGGGTGTGGCCTCTACGTAAGGCCCCCCCGGCACCCGGGAGAAGGACGGCATGGATGGCTCCTCTCCTACTCTTGAGGAAGAAGGGTTGGCTCAAGGTTGTGGGGGAGGAGAAGTCGAGCAGCCCTTAGGCTTGTTCCCCCCCAAACCCCCTTCAATCTTTATTTTGAGGGAGGTTAATTCCCTCCTCAGGTCTCCTAGTTCCTCATGAAGCGCGTCTACTTCACGGTAGAGAGTCTTGTTCTCCAGCTGTGATTGGACAGCGCCCTTCTCCACTTCTAGGGAAGCGACCTTTTCACGAAGGGTCGACACCTCGGTTCCCAGCCGAGCGTTGAGTGTCCCGAGGCGCCGAACCTCCCTCTCCAAGTTTGTACGGCTGGCCACGATATTAACGGCCTGTCGCAAGCCGCTGGCCGCCTCCTTAAAGCGGCGAACAAACACGCCCTTCAAGTTTTTGGACTTTCGGGTCCTCCACTGACGCTGCNAGCTTGGTAGCCTGTACGACAACCTGTTCGGTCGCCATGTCCTCTGACATGACGACCGAAAAAAGCTGCACCTTCGCAGTGCCCTCCGCCCGGTTAAGAGTAGAGGGCGCGCCCTGAGAGCGGGTTGAAACTCGGATGGCGTCAAAGTCGTTGAGCAACTCCTCCTCAAGCTGCAATTCCCGCTCCTTGGCCTCATTCAAGCTGCGCTTGGCGGCACCTAGGCTTATATATTCCCCGGTTGTTAGGGGACGGCGCCCTCCCCTCTTTCTCTCTCCACAGCTATTTGTCCTCTTGGGAGACCCAAGAGGCTAGAAGAGGCGGAACTTACTGCGCGCCTTGTGTTGTTGTTGAGGTTTCGGCGGCAGTACCGACCTCGTTTCCGGGACGACCTCGAGCTCCAAATCGGAGCCATCGTCCGGTAGAGGGACGTCCATCGGCTCGATCTTTTCTAGAATGACCCGGNCACTACCGGGACACTCCTTCCCGACACTAGACGGGCCGAACTGAGCCTTGGAGTGGGTGGGTAGGTGTTGTCCACCTGCGCCCTCTTNTTCCTGCTCCGAGTCCAAGCCAGAGTTGCAAGTTCGAGCAGAAAGCAACGAGAGCATCGAGCGGTGAGGGCACGCACACAAGCCAGAACCGCCGTTTGTGTGCGTGACGTCATGCACACAGACGGCGGTTTTGGCTTGTGTGCGTGCCTCCACCGCTCGACGCTCTCGTTGCTCTCTGCTCGATCTTGCAACTCTGGTCCAAGCATAACCAACTCGAACCCCGAACACGTCTTGTGTTCCGGCCCCGTAAGGGGCCGAGACACAGGAATTTGCTCCCCTTGCGAACTGCTGCGTTGGCAGCAGTCTTNACAGACGCATTTTTCTGTGTTGCCCCTGTGAGGCAAGCAACACAGAGCCCGTCATCAGATGACGACCCAAGGATGGCCGGGACAGTACCACCCAAGTGCCGGAACCTGGCCGTCCGTTTGACCTAGTCCGGTACGTTGTTCTTCTTTTTCTTGCGCTCCATTATAGTGTTTACAAGGTAAGGTTTGATTTTGGGGTCACCTTCCCCTAGGACGATTGACGACCAAGTCTGACGAGCNCGCCCTGCCCGGGTTTCTTGCTTCGGGGTTGTCTTTCCCCTAGTGCGGCTTCCCCACGTGGGGTAACGAGCCCGCACGCCCGGATTTGAAATTAGGGTTTACTCCTCTATTCCGACTGCACCGTGGCTGTCGGACGTCCCCGGGTTTGGAATCAGGATTTTCTNCCCTATCCCAGTTGCCTCCGTCTCTGGGGACTAACGGAGCTAAGAACTCTGGGTTTTTGTTCGAGGTTTTCCTTCCTCTATTCCCACTCTTAGTACGGGAGCTCGGTGAGAAGCCTTCCTGGCATGGATGACCCTGCCAGAAACTTAAAGAAGTCTCCGCCAGTATAGCCTTTTCACTTCACCGCTCCCAAGCCCGGCTCCACNACAAGGTGGTGGGAAATTGCCCGGGACTCCCCCCAAAACCTAACCTTGTCACCAGAGCCAAAAGCCCAATCAAAGANCAGGGCGCTGCAGTGCGTGGAGCAGAGCTTCACAACGGAAAGAGTGGTACTGCTGGAAGCACAGATGCGGTACGAGAAGGACGAGCTGCGAAAGGAGGCCACGTATTGGTCNGAAGCAGTTTTAAACGAAGTCCTTGACAGAGTAGGGTACGCCAGNGCTACCTGAAACAAAAACTATGTATATATTAGATTAAGCGCTTAAGTTATTATATTAATACTCACTAANTTTAAGTGTTACAAGTTTCGTTGTTTGTATTTCTTAATCGATAGTTTTAAGAATACTCACCTGAAACGTCACTGTAGTGACGACTGTCCACGCGGAATGGACAAAGTATTTTTTTTTAAGCTGTTAAAAAGCGCAACAAATAAAAATCTTNGGGTAACCGGAAATGTTGCGAGTAGAGCGAGAAAGAGGTAAAGACTAAAACACACTAAAATTTACTTTAAGAGTTAAGTAAAGTGTTTTGCGGAGATTAGCTGGCAACAAGCCAGGCGACGCCTTAGGCGTTTAGTTTTNTTTTACTGTTTTGTTTTAGTTTTGCGTTTTTATGTCACGGTCTTGTTTTATTTTATCTACCGAAATTTTTATTTGACCGTTAAAAGTTTTGTTGGTCGTTAGGACAAACGCAGGCGCTAAGTAAGTATGTTAAACCCGTTTTAGTTTGTTAACCTCGTCACAGAAGTGATAAGGTTTCTTAGCGTCTGAACTTCGTAAGGTAAGGTGCCGAGGATGCGAATTACTTGAGGTAAAAGACTAAAGTGTCTCGTGAATATCTGAACTNAGTAAAGGACAAAACGCATGGTTCAAGTGAAACATGTGGTTAAGGATTTGGAACAACACGGTGGTGGATGGAATGGACCCAAATTTATNATACGTTGGTTTTTGGGGCTTAACCACAACGTTTGGCGAAAGTTGATGGTTAAGGAAAATTAGATATATATTCACGTTTGGCAACTTCAACTAAGGGGGTTTATCACAAAAAAAATAGTTAATTAACAAATTTTGGAAATAGGTAAAGTTTAGGGTTAAGAAAAATTATGGGTGTTTTTAATATNTTGGCTTGACAAGGAATAGGTCCACCGGGTTGAAAATGCTTAGTTGATAAGTTAAAATAAATTGTTTGTTTAACTAATTATTGGGTGTCCGAAGTGTCCGCTGTGATAAGCAAGCATGGAGGAACAAGAAACTCAGACTAATTCGCGCCCACCTGAAAGTAACTGGGTTTAGGGAATCTGAAAAAAGAACACACCTAAAGGTGCGCTTATGCGGTTACGTGTGATCCGCGCCTTAAGTGTCGAACAAGAAGGCCCGGCCATCTTGGGCTATAGTCTCGCTCGAGGAATTGAGAGTAACGGACGCGTGTGCNAGAGTTCTCTTGTTAACAAAGTTCCCGCGACTCATTATTGCGTTATTTAATCATATTTACGCTGTACTTAATAAACCNAACGTGTACGTGAAGTGCATGACATGTGATATACATAAATAAACTGTGTTACATATATATATTGGATANATACTGCGTGTCTGTGTAAAGTTATTTNGTGCGATCCTCTCCCGTTCAGACAGGAAGGAGGATCCAGAGGGACTCAGTCATCCCGGAAATCCTTGTTGTTTGGAGGTCAAAACAACTGGCGACCGTGATTGAACATCCGTACGGTAAGTCCTTGACCATAATCATCGCCTAANCCCGGTCACAACCTAACCTAATCTTGCGACCGACGGATTCGGGGGTGACGGGTCCCGTTCTGGAGAGATCGGTGAATGTGGAGGGACATCTCGATAAGGACAAGCTAACGTAGACAGTGTTTCTGCGTACATGTATATCCGGATCAAGGAGTTTTTCTTTTTCGTTATTGTTTAGATCAGGCAAAGTTACGTGCTTAGATATACATATTTAATTTTGTAACGTACTTTGTCCAGGGTGCATAATGCCCAGTGGAATCAGAAGTTNATGCGAATTTTGTTTAAGAGTGACCCATTTAGGTTGGGNTCCGCTCGCCAAACTGACATTTAATAATGTCAAGGGAAACACTTGTTTGCGAAGCAGTGCGTAATTATGACTGTAACTCTGTAAGTAAGCTTGTTTCGGTTTAAGCGTTGATCTGACTAAGTATGAGCAGTAATTGAAAATTTAGATANAAACTTGTAAAACCTAACGTGTAATTATTGGTGTAGTTGCATTAATTGACTATTCACCATAAGGGACACTGACCTGGAAAAAAAGAGCAGTAAGTAGGATTAGGATCTTGGTATACTTACCTCGTCTGGCAGGATTGTGTGTCAATTCTCCCGGGA